GGCGGCGATCCGCAAGAAGCTGGTGGTGGTGGGCGACGGGGCGTGCGGCAAGACGTGCCTGCTGATCGTGTTCAGCAAGGACGAGTTCCCCGAGGTGTACGTGCCCACCGTCTTCGAGAACTACGTGGCCGACATCGAGGTGGACGGCAAGCAGGTGGAGCTGGCGCTGTGGGACACGGCGGGCCAGGAAGACTACGACCGCCTGCGCCCGCTCTCCTACCCGGACACCGACGTGATCCTCATGTGCTTCTCGGTGGACAGCCCGGACTCGCTGGAGAACATCCCGGAGAAGTGGGTGCCCGAGGTGAAGCACTTCTGCCCCAACGTGCCCATCATCCTGGTGGCCAACAAGAAGGACCTGCGCAACGACGAGCACGTCCGCAACGAGCTGGCGCGCATGAAGCAGGAGCCCGTGCGCACCGAGGACGGCCGCGCCATGGCCATCCGCATCCAGGCCTACGACTACCTCGAGTGCTCGGCCAAGACCAAGGAGGGCGTGCGCGAGGTCTTCGAGACGGCCACGCGCGCCGCCCTGCAGAAGCGCTACGGCGCGCAGAGCGGCTGCATCAACTGCTGCAAGGTGCTATAGGGGCGGGGCCCCGCGGACGCTGCCCGCCCCCCCCGCCCCCCGGCGCGGGCGCCCAGCGCGGTGCCTGCCCCGTCCTGGGTGGGTGGTGGGGGGGGTTGTTGATAACGTTTCAAATGCGTCTCGAGGGGGTTAATTTAAAGGAGTTTTATTTTCAAAAGAGAATCTTACTTTGCACAAGGCGGGGGTTTCGAGTTGGGGGTTTTTGTTTTTTGGCTGCACTTGTCATCTGCATTGGACACTGTAGCATTGCAAACACTTTTTTTTTTTTGGACTCGGTAACCTCGACTAAACTACAGAGCGAAGAGGAAATAGAACCACTGTAACTTAATTTTTTTTTCTTTTTTGAAAAAAATGAGTGGAAAGGAAACACTGTCTTGCTTGTTTTTTGTTTCCCTTGTCTGATGCACAGAATAATTGTTCCTCTCTTTCTTCTTAATGCTAGAGGGCAGTTTTAAAGTGTTTGGGTTTATTTAAAACTTATTTTCACAGGGTAGCTTGTACACCGATGTGAAAATATTCTGTATTTTTTCTCTGATTCAGAGAACAATCCTGTCTAACTCTCTCTGGTCCCCCCCTCCGCCCTGCCCCACCTTGACAGTGGTACTAAGACTGTTTTGTTTCACTTATGTCTATTGTTGGTTTTCTTTTTCTTTTTTTAATAAAATAAACTGACATGGCAAAAATGATGAGACAGATGATGTTTACATGAAGTTACATAAGCTGTGTATGCAGTTTTTTATGTATTAAAAGAGTCTATGCTGAAATCCCAGTGTGGTTTAATGAAGTCTTCCAAGTTTATCACGTCTTAGAAAATGACTGATTGACGGACCAAGGGTGAGGGCTGAGGCAGGGGCAAAAGACTTCTCTTGCGAGTACAGCAAGGCACTGGTTGCATCTTTTACATCATTTGGGGTAGCAGTCAGTGTGGAAGAGGTGCTTTTTATTAGACCAACTAGATAACTGCAAAAAAAGGTCTTTTATTTGCAAGCTTTTGGGCTCACGTGCCCTTAAGCAAAGGAGAATGCAAAGGTTGTACAATTTTCTCCCAGGTAGAAATTTGGGGTAGCTTTTTCTAGGCTACCACCTGTTTCCAAGAGGGAAAGGAGGGGCCAGTCTCCTGCTGGACTTGCTCAAATATGGCCATTCCACTTTTGGTTTTATTTCCTCAGCAAGTCACCAGAAAGCACAAGCACAAAAAGCCTTTGTCCACGTTTCTGAGGTCAGTGAATCTCTGCCCCTTTCTCCCGGGTCCTAACGTGTTTGGCACAGATCTGTGCCAAGAGCAGGGGCAACCTTATGCTCCTTTTCTTGCCCTCCCCCCTCAAACAGAGGAGGGTGACCGGGACTCATGGGGGAACACCCATGCAGATTTACTTGTGGGAAGCACAAACAATGCTTTCTTCTTGACATGGGAAGTAACCCATGGTAATAAAATGTACTTTTCTGTCTTCTCAACTGCAGGATAAGGTTGGTAACAAGTGCTCTTCTGTAATGGATTCAAACAGCAGCTCTGTAGCAATGAGGTGAGAGGTTAACTATGACTCACTGCTGCATTAACTCTTCCTCTCCTTCAGAGCAGCAGTGCCAGCCCCTCGCTCGCAGCCCCGATGGGTGAGCAGACCCTTGCAGCAGAGACGGGTTGTCACACAGTGAATGACCCGAGTCTCTAGGTGCTGGCTTCAATTGCTTTTGGAGCTGTTTTATTTTAGCTTTTGTTCCTGGGGAGGGATCTTGCTGGGAGAAGATCATAGCTTTACACTCCCGGCAATTGTGCTACTGCTCTGTAATTGGACAGTCTAAAACAGCATGATCAGAGTAGTACTGGGGGGTTCTAGATGATCCCTTAATTAGGCCTCAGCACCCCTCTGTGCCAGGTACTGTACACACAACATAAAAAAGCGGTCCCTGCCTAAAAGAGCCTATGGCTGAAATGACTCAAGGAGCAATGTGTACATCTCCTTTTTGCAAGACCCAGACAAAGCATGGATTTAGTTAATTTCCTATCGGAAAATGCCTTGATGGCAGACAAGGTTCTTCGGGTGAATCTGATATCTTTTGTTAGACCAACTTAATATAAGATACCAGATTCACCCAAAGGACCTTGCCTGCCTATGTCCTTGGACCAACACCGCTACAACCTACACCCTTGACTTGATGGCATTTTTATTCTCTTCCTTCCTTAGCCAGGTGCGTGTGTTTCTGCGGGGCGCAGGCAGGAGTGTTCTGACATTGGACATAAAATATAGCTGCCTCCACCTTCACAGAGTATAATGTTCACATTTCATTCGCTCGGTTCTCTTTGTGATCAACAATACACACAATTTCAGTTTGGTACAAAATAGGCTGCATCCATGTGCCCTAATATAAGGGGCATACCTCATTGTCTTGCTCATAAAACAATTATCACAATGATCCTGGGCTTTCAGCAAAACTGCCAGTCAAGAGATACTACTTTGTACTAAGATTTTGGGCGCAACTTTCCTTTTTTTACTAGTTTTCTACCCTCGCAGATCTCTCTGATTTCAGCACAGTTACCCCTGATCTCTATGGAAATAAGAAAAGAATGCAGCCCTTCACTTACACAGAATAGGAAAGTGGGGTGGATTATAAATTATAATTACCAAAACAAGCAAAGCACATTGCTTCATTCAAAGGCAGCCAGATCATTCTTTCCTTGAAGTCTGTGGGAGTTTTCTCATTATTTTCAGGGGAAGGAGGTTTGGCCCATTTGTTCTACAGATTTAAAATGCAATCAGAAGTTACACAAGACTATTGCATTTAGAGTAATAATAATAAAGAAGCACATGGTACTGAATTGTTGCAAGTTAATCGAATTGCCTTTAATGATCCTTCCTGGCAAATACTGGCACTTTTTATCAAAGCAAAATTTTGGCCAGATTTTTCCAAGTGTGACTAGAGATTTGTAGGTGCCTTGATTTTTATGTAACTATCAGTACGTTTAGGAACCCTATAGAGGTCTGATTATTGGAAGACCAAACCTCTTGAGTTTATATTAGACTTTTGGTTCTCAAGGTGAGAAGTCAATGGGAGGTTTGCATGAACAACAAGCGCAGTTCCAGGCTCCTGTCGACTTTTAAATCCAAAAAATTGTACGGTTTGTGTGTGCCGCAACATAGCAGCACAGAGAAGCTCAGTTATTTTTCCCCCCACCCAAACACAGATACAACAATAATAATTATTAGGATTTCTATAAATATTTCTCAAATTGATGTAGTGCGATTATAAAGTGTTTTCACCAACAAGAGCAGAAAATAGAACTGTCTTTGGTGAGAGGTACGTGTTAGTGAGAGTCTCAAGACAGCTCGGGTAGAAATCAACTTTTTGTTTTTTTAATATGCTCATTTTTATCTAGTGAAGTAAAATGACAGGTTTTTGCCCACTTGGTTGTGGGTATATGTGGGAGGAGAATTTCACCCACAGGCTTTTATTGGCCTTTTTGTTTTTGCAGCACTAACTTATTTTAACTTCTTTTACTTTTTCTGTGCATTGAAAAGTTTGTAAATCATGTTTTTCAGGTGGATAAAGGGTTGAATATGGCCATGCCTTATTCTGAAAGGGAGAGAGAGACCTCCAGGAAATCAACAAAGATTTTCAAAAGCCACTAACTATAATTCAGTCACTGATTTCAGTGCCTGGTCATTGAAGAGAAAATAAAAGATGTAACTTTACAAACAGCTTTTCACATTCTAGTGAAACATTATAAGCACTGCAGAATCAAACACTTTTTAGTGCTCATTCTGTAACAGTATTTACATAAAAAGGGGCTGAATAAATCATCTGTCAGTTAACTAAATTCCATTGACCTAAAGCCAGTGTTTTTCTAATATGCTCTGAGAACTTTTTAATATGTTCTAGGCTTGAAGATATTTCTGTTTCAGCTAATAAAATGAACCCTGTTTCTCATTTTACACAATAACAAGACACTACAGGGTACATTACCACCCTAAAGAGGTAACATTTTCCTTTTAACACCCGGTGAAGACTCTTGTATTCTTTGTTGTAGAGAGGAATTCCATTGAAATCAATGTGACTACTCAAGAAAGTTTTCCCATGAATTCGTGGTATGTGGGGCTATGCCAGCCTGGTTGGATCTGGTTTTGGAAGCTAAGCATCTTGAGCCTGGCTAGTAGTGGGATGGGAGATCACCTTGGAATCCCACAACCTGCAGGTGTGAGCCAAGTTGTTGAACGCTCGGCAAATTCCAACCCATGCAAATCACACAAGTAACAGTGGTCGATTTGGCCCGTTGTCACTTTTGCAATATGAAATCTAAATCTCTACACTCCATGAATATAGATAGTTTAGAGACAGCAACAGGGCCAGGATTTGTTTTATGTGGGATGTATTTTTATTACCTTGAATATGACTAAAAGAGACTGATTCAAAGACCAGCGTGGTTGGTGGGTGTCTTTCCATTGACTTCATTGTGCTCTGGATCAGGTCCCGAATGCAAAAAATAACAGGCCATGTACATGCTTAGGAAAATGTGAAGGGCACACAAGGGGAAAGGAGTAAGATTATTTTTTTCCAAGTTCTTCATAGCTCATATTAGAAAGAAGGGATTTTCTTTCAAATTCACATCTAATGCCAGAGTGGTAAGTCACAGCTTGTGATAAGCAGCAGACAGATATAATGGCTTTCTTGGTGACAGCTAGATAACTACATATGCTATAGGAAGGGAGTCTACTGCTCTGCTTTTACAAGGGCCATTCTTTAAGAGGTTTTGTGGTTAAATTCATGAGATGTATATATGTGCATGCAATTTATCATTCATGCATAATTCACAAGGAAGTAACCGTTTGCTATAAAAAATATCCACCAGAATATCTGTTTCACTTACATGAATGGAATTTCAAACTAGGGATAAAATAGGAAGGCTGGAAAGAGAGGCACTGATGGGTCTACTGTCTTTACTAATAGAACAGCTGTATAGGTTTGGATATTAGGTTGCCATCATATGTTTAGCTAAGCGCATCTATATCTTGCTATATGTATTCCCCTTGCCTGAATGTGGGA